GTTGACATAACTAGACAATACCTACACCTACACAGGGTGATAGTTGACATAACTACACAATACTTACACCTACACAGGGTGATAGTTGACATAACTAGACAATACCTACACCTACACAGGCTGATAGCTGACATAATTACACAATACCTACACCTACACAGGCTGATAGTTGACATAATTACACAATACCTACACCTACACAGGGTGATAGTTGACATAACTAGACAATACCTACACCTACACAGGCTGATAGTTGACATAATTACACAATACTTACACCTACACAGGCTGATAGCTGACATAACTAGACAATACCTACACCTACACAGGCTGATAGCTGACATAATTACACAATACTTACACCTACACAGGCTGATAGCTGACATAACTACACAATACTTACACCTACACAGGCTGATAGTTGACATAATTACACAATACCTACACCTACACAGGCTGATAGTTGACATAATTACACAATACCTACACCTACACAGGGTGATAGTTGACATAACTACACAATACCTACACCTACACAGGCTGATAGTTGACATAACTACACAATACCTACACCTACACAGGCTGATAGTTGACATAATACACAATACTTACACCTACACAGGCTGATAGCTGACATAACTACACAATACTTACACCTACACAGGCTGATAGTTGACATAATTACACAATACTTACACCTACACAGGCTGATAGTTGACATAACTACACAATACTTACACCTACACAGGCTGATAGTTGACATAACTACACAATACCTACACCTACACAGGCTGATAGTTGACATAACTACACAATACCTACACCTACACAGGGTGATAGCTGACATAATTACATAAGTCGATTAAGGCTGTCGTCTGCTGTGCAGATAACATCTTGGTTAATACCAAGAACTTCTGCCTCACACGAGTGGGGTCCGTGGTTCGAGTCTCCTAGAGCCCAGGTGAATGAAAAGAGACACGAGGATAATTCTTGGAACCCCTGCAGATGTACAAGAATCATCATTATGTTCTTTGTACACATTCTTTTGAATACAAATTTGAATTTGATGTGAACAAGAGGTAGGACATACTCTCCAACACTATATCTGTGATTTGATTTACACTTTGTAATCTTTCATATAGAATAGGGTAGCAGCACACTGCAGTAATTATCTAAGCGATAATTAGTTTACCTTAATTTAATTATTTTATTAATTACATTACTAAATAATTTCTTGCCTTAGTTTATTCATGAATTACTTAAGTGGCAATTACAGCAATGTGCTGCTACCCTATTCTATATATATGAAAGACTACAAAGTGTGGATAAAAAACTAGCTAAAAGTTCATCTAATATCCCCAGCTCGCAGGATGGTTAGTCACACATGGACTCAGGGAAGAACATGAAATGTGAGCCTAATTATCAGCCTGCACTAGCAAACTCTGGCTACAGTCACAAGAATATCTAACAATATTCGTGAGTGTATGAAGGGTCGGGGTTGTGTGGCTGGTTGCTCAAGTGCTCTATAATAATAATAATAATAATAATAATAATAATAATAATAATAATTTTTATTTAGGTAAGGTACATACATAAAGAGATTTTACAAAGTTTGTTGGCTTTATAGATAGAGCTAGTACATACAATGCCTAAAGCCACTATTACGCAAAGCGTTTCGGGCAGGAAAAACATTAATGACTAAAGCTTAAAACTAATGGGTAAAAAGAATAAATGTGTTGAGAACAAATAAAAATAGAGGTAAAAGAGGGTATACTTAAAATGTATAGTATGTATGTAGTATGTAGTATGTAGTATAAATGTATAATAAAGTATACTCTGTATACTTAAAATAAAAATAAAATAAAAGTCTTTATCGTAGATATTTTTTCACTGCATTATACCCTGTTTCTCATGGTAGGGTAGGCGGGGGGATTTTTCAAGTAAACAAATAATAATAATAGTTATATCTTTTTAAGTGTCGTAATTCAGAAGAAAGAACCATAAGACCGGTTCAGATTCTTATGTTTGTAAACAAAAGTTGAGAACTCAACGTCGAGTGGCTCGCCCCCGCACGCAAACTTCACGTGCCTTAAAGAACAAGACTTATTCTTGCCTCTACGTTATTTGTCAACAAAATTCTTGACAGTTATTGAGGATATAGATTGATAGAGGACGCCTGTGACTTGATTAACGAACCTGCCATAGAAGGTGCTGTTCTCATCAGTTTATTTTCATTTTGAATGTGATAGTTTGGTTGTTTGAGTACTTGTTTCATAATAGATGAGGCAATGGCAGTAGCCCCAATCTCTCGTTTAACATTATAAGTGATGTTAGTGTCAATCCCGTTGTCGAAACCAGGATGCCTGTTTATAGGTTTATCCAGATCCCAATTACTGACTTTGCTCTGGATGTAATCCAGAGCAAAGATTAGTAGATGGGATCCACTAAAATTGCCCAAATTCTGGATGCATGTTTACTGCTAGGTGAACAGAAGCATCATGTGAAAAAAGCATGCCAAGCCTAAGTCTGTTCCACTACAGTAATTGAACCCAGGACCCTTGGTTGTGATCCGATAATGTTCAGGACACACTGCTCTGTGTCCTGTGATTTGTCCACCTGCCGGTATGTTTAGAGTGGTGTGTGGCATGTGGCTGGCAATGGTTAGTGGTTAGATGAAGCCATCCTAAAGCTTCAACTTGAATGTATAAGCCTAATATAAGATAATTAGATGAGCCAAAACTAAATACTACGAAGATAAATTTACCCAAATAAAGAGCAACATTAAACAAACTTGGAGAACAATTTCTCAAATATTGGGATCAAAGAAGTCTTTAAATAACAAACCGACTCTCCTGTCTAATAACGATGGTCAGCTTTCAGCCTCTGATTCTGCTACTGAGTTCAATAGGTTCTTCTCTTCCATTGGTTCATCCCTTGCAAATGATATTCCATCTTCCAGTACAGACATTAATGACTATCTTTCAGGTAACTATCCACAGTCTCTGTACCTAAAGCCTATTAATTCCACTGACGTCAATGAGATAATCCTTTCCCTTAAAACCAAGTCTGGTGCCCTTGAGGAGATACCAACTTTAATTTACAAAAAAGCCTCCAGATCTTTAGCCCCTGCTATTGCTTTGCTCTTCAACAAGTCACTTGAACTCCAAACCTTCCCAGATATTCTAAAAAAAGCGAGAGTAACGCCTGTCCACAAATGTGGTAATCTCACAGATGTTAACAACTACAGACCTATATCTATCCTGCCAAACTTGTCAAAAATTTTTGAAAAACTAATCTATAAGCAGCTTTACTCATATCTAGCCAAACTCAATATACTTAGCCCTTGCCAATATGGCTTCAGACCCAAAAAAAGCACTAACGATGCACTTATTAGTATGCTTAACTCGATTCATACAGCTCTTGATAAAAATGAGTTCTCTGTTGGGTTGTTTGTGGACCTGCGTAAAGCTTTTGACACTGTCAACCACCAAAACCTTCTTCTTAAATTACATCATTATGGAGTCAGAGGACACTCCCTACAATACCTCAAATCCTACCTTACTGACAGGCTCCAATATGTTTCTGTGAATAATACAATTTCTCCCACCCTACCCATCAACATTGGTGTTCCCCAGGGCAGCATACTTGGCCCTCTCCTCTTTCTCATCTACATTAATGACCTTCCAAATGCCTCCCAACACCTCAAACCAATTCTATTTGCTGACGACACAACCTTCATTTACTCCAGTCCTGATCCCCTTGCTCTAAATGCCACAGTAAATACTGAGCTAAATAAAGTCCATCTGTGGCTAACTGCCAACAAACTCACCCTTAACATTGACAAAACCTTTTATATTCTGTTTGGCAATAAATCCTCTAATCAAATAAATCTCAAAATAAACAATACCCAAATTTGTAACAAATTAGATGGCAAATTCCTTGGCATTCTCATTGACCACAAGCTTAATTTCCAGGGACACATTCTAAACATATCAAAAAAAGTTTCAAAAACTGTGGGCATTCTTTCTAAGATCAGATATTATGTACCACGCCCTGCCCTGGTGACTCTCTATTACTCCCTTATCTAGCCATATCTCAACTATGGTATTTGTGCTTGGGGCTCTACTACCCAAAATCACTTACGTCCTCTAATTACTCAACACAAAGCTGCTATTAGGACAATATCCAATTCTGGCCCCAGACACCACTCGGTACCCCTACTTAAATCTCTGAATATGTTAGACATTAAGTCACTGCACATTCTCTCATGTGTATTATACATATATAAAACGCTAAACTATAATGCCAATCCTGATCTCAAAAGCTTCATAGAAGGTTGTATCAGAACCCATGAGCATCACACCAGAAATAAATACAGTTTTGATATTCCTAGAGTACGACTTAATCAAACTAGAAATGCTCTACAAATCAAGGGGCCCAGAATGTGGAATGACCTTCCCAACCATGTTAAAGACTGTACCTCTCTCAACCAGTTTAAGTTAAAAGCGAAGCTATACCTAATAAATTCCCTGTAACCTACCTTACCCTTCTATTGTCAACCAATGTCTGTTTTTTTCTTTAAAGAGCGCTGTTTGTCGACATAATTGTATTTGTGCTGCTTTTTCATCTATGTTTTCATTTCTTGTTTTCATTCTACTCATTATGCTCAATTAGTATTAAGCTTGTCATTTAAGTTTATCATGCCCGAAACGCTTTTGCTTAATTGTGAGTTGCTGTCATTACTCAAGTGGTATTATTGCATTTTACTCATAAAAATATTATATGTGGCAGTCATGCCAATACAGTATATATCTGTAAACTTAATGATTGCACAGTGATGTGTTCTTGGCAGTATTCAAAAAGCCTAAGATAGTTTTAGTTTATTATACACCCAATATTAATATTGTATTCACCTAGTTGTATTCACCTAGTTGTGTTTGCGGGGGTTGAGCTTTGCTCTTTCGGCCCGCCTCTCAACTGTCAATCAACTGTTTACTAACTACTTTTTTTTTCCACACCACACACACACACCCCAGGAAGCAGCCCATGACAGCTGACTAACTCCCAGGTACCTATTTACTGCTAGGTAACAGGGGCATTCAGGGTAAAAGAAACTTTGCCCATTTGTTTCTGCCTGGTGCGGGAATCGAACCCGCGCCATAGAATTATGAGTCCTGTGCGCTATCCAATCTAACTGGATAGATAGGCTATCCAGCCTATATCCTATATCCAGGCTATCCAGCCTTTCCACTACCACACAGTGGTGGTGGAAAGGTTTCAGCGATACATAATGGGCTCGGGAACTGAACCCAAAAGTTCATATATAACTAAGCAAGTTAAAGTCTTAATGAGCCTTAGTTTATCAAACCAACATCACCATGATTTCAAGAGACCCTAACATAGCAAGTGAGAGGTTTAGTTAGATTAGTTTATTATGGGGCCCCATTCCTATCCTAAGGGTGAGTAACAGAAAGCTTTCACTGTCACAATGAGTACAAGTACTGAATCCCAATGCTCTTTAACCCCTTAACTGCACAAAACTTCATATGAAGTGTGACATTGAGCTCAGTTTTAAATTTTCTGAAACTCTTTCAAATGTTTTGTGCATAATCTACTAGACAAATGCTCCAACTTTGTCTAAATGATACCAGTGTAACTTGAAAAACAAGAAAATAAAAAATAATGATAAAATTTAATACTGTAGAGTGGATTCTAGTGGTAAAGGAACTTTGCACGATCTCTAGGTCAGCAACTTCTCTGGCTCTGAATGGGGCTGTTAGAGTGCAACAATATTTCACCTTAGAGAGCACTAGTGGCTTGAAAATTATCATCACTGGTATGGGCATTCCTTGTTTGGAAGGATCTTGTTATCCAACCTGTCATTTTTCTTGCAGTCGTGGTTGTATGTAACAGTAAGGTCTTCTGACATGATTACTCCTAGGTCCTTTACATTGCTTTATCGTTCTATAGTGTGATTTGATTCCATGATTCAATGGCGGGAAAATATTAGAGGGGTTTGGTTTCCGTTTTTAAATTTTTATTTTTTCCATAGCGCAGGAGCTGGAACTTATTTTCATTAAACATCGTATTATTATCTGTGGCCTATTGAAAGACTCGATTTACGTCCAATTGGAGAATTGCCGTGTCCTCTATACTGTCTGCTCACATGAAAATCCTAGTGTCATCTCAAAATGATGATACAGTGCTGTAATGACATGGCACATGCCTCATGGCTACAAACTCCCAAACCATACTGTGTACCCGATGAAGAAGTGGAGAACAGTGACCCTTGACAGCTTGATGAGTGCAGGTCACAAAGCTCCAACTTACAGCCAAGGCATACATATAGGTATCTAGCATGGGTGGAGGAAGGCACCAGGGAATTGAACCACAACAAACATGAAGAGGAAGCCAGCGATGCAACAGCTAGCAAAGGGCCAATAGGACCCACATCCATCAGTTGGGGTGGCAGCGAAAAGACTGCACTAGATGTACTTGAATAGTTGCTGAAGCCAAAATCCCAAATGTTCCAGAGCTGGAAGCAATGGGAGAATGAAAGATCAGAGGAAGGGCAAACCATGCCCAAATGGGAGAGAAATTGATGTGTGGACAGAACTAAGATGGAAATCATCAATACGCCTCATCCTAGGACCCTAAACACCAGTTGGGGCAGCTCTGGGGCATCCAACCAGGCATATAACCTAGACTGCTCAAGACAAAGAAAGCCGACACATAAAGCAGAAGCTGCCTGAGACATGCAAATGGCATCAGGATAGAAAGGAGAGCCCCATGGGGGAAGCATGATATATAGCACGATATATCAAATGAACAAATCCACAAGGGGCTATGGGTTCGAACTTACACCCAGGATGATTCCAGATGCACCTTAGTCAGCTGTGCCATGGCATGGTAAAAGAATTGCAATCTGGAGTGTTACTGCCCTCACGAGGATCCCGCTGCTTCTCCGAAGCACAAACCGGGGTTTCACACAATTCCCCCAGGCACCTGGGCTCTGTCAAGCAGATGTTCTACCTCTACGCCCTTCAATACACACAGAAATCACAATAGCGTGATATATCAAGTGAACAAATCCACAAGGGCCATGATGAGGGTTCGAACCTACACCCAGGATGATCCCAGCCGCGCCTTATTCAACTGTGTGGAGTGCTACTGCCCTCACGCACAAGGAGAGGGCAAGTTTGAGGGGAATATCCATGGGATCACAGAACCTGCAGAGGATTTCCAGGCCTGAAGGGTAACCTAAGGAGGAAACCCAGGCACTTGGATTGCTATTCTGGACCTAAAATTAAGCTGATACAGCCTTGTTCGTGCAGCTGTGAAGGCCGACCTCGGCACACTGGAAATGTTAAGCACACAAACCACCAGTGCCCTATCAGTCAATATCACACCAGAAACAGGTCAAGACAGGGAAGTCACAAGAAACCTGACTCACCCTGGACATGGGCCACCACAAGTGAGGAAGACCTCTAAGGAAGCGACCCGCCCAAACACACCAGAGAAGAAAACCCTGGCAATGCAAGGGAAGCACAGGAGGGAAGGTAACCCTGTGCACATGCAGCTCCAAGTTCCCTTAAAGCTTGGCTCATGCTACACTGCAGTGTATAGAAAATGCCACCAAGGGCAAACACCATGCTACTTAGTTAAACGGGCAGAACACCGGAGTCAGCATAGAAGAGAAGAGACCTAATACGCACTACATCAATGATAGAATTGACAGCTCAGACCATGGCAGGTGGTGAGCTACTTCCCCCTCCTCCCAAACAAGTTTGGAAGTAGGCGTGATTGAGCTCACACTAGTTCCATGAGAATTCGATTATTTATTTACATGGTTTGGGGAGTTCTTTAGGCGGGTTTTGATTCGAGACTTCGGTCTCTTTTTGAATCCAGCCGTACTCTATTGTAGTTGTTCTGACTCGTTAACTTTCTGGTTGCCTTTGCCAGTGAGGTGGCAAAAAAGTCACTGCTTCCTGTGCCTCTGGTTGAGAGTAGGGGGTGGGGCCAGGTTCTGACTCTGGTTCCCAGTAGGCCCATATAATTGATGCAACCTAGTAGATGGTACCATCTCAGTGTATAGCTTCAGGGAACCACAAAGGAAAACATTGTTTTGTGAATACAGTACATGCATACATTAGTATTCATGAAATTGATTTTGTTTTGTAGTCTAAAGTTATTATAAACGTACAAACAAGTTTTATGAATAAAGTTATCTAATAAATTTCTATTCTTTTTTAGGTAGTTATGGGGAACTTACTTCAAGGCTGGATGGGTTCCCATGTGATGGGGTCTGGAGGAAGCAAGCGGAAAGTGGAGGAAGTGGAGAGCGATGATGAGGATGCAATGGACTTGGATTCCCTTCTGCACACACCAAAAAAGTATGCACTCTAAAGCTTCAACCTTTGACATTTAAAATATCTCTCAAAATCATATTTTTGTGGGGAGCCCCTTTGGCTCCCTGGAGCTATCGGACTAATATGCGATATATTACTCTAAGGCATTAGTCAATGAAGTTCAGCCTACCAGGAACCAAGAGCTAGAACTTTGCCTCCTCAGAGAGGTACAAAGAGTAATGGCCTCTGGAAACCTTCCCTGTGGTTGGGGTTATTCCTTGTCTGCCATTGACTGGAGTTAGGCACCCAGAAAGGTAGGCATAACAAAAGAAACCCCACTTGGTAAGAAAATTGCAACCAAAAACCAAATAGGGAGGCAGAACGCCCCCAACTCTCAAGGAAACAAGCAAATGTCACACTACCGCCGCTGCGGTGCTTTTCCGCACAGCCCTCCCCTCCCCGGGAGGGGGAGGGGGAGGGGGAGGGGGTGACCCAATCCCCCGTGCTGGCTTCTCACATACCCCAGTTGGCTGATGTGATCGGGATGGACGTCAACTCTGGCCTCAATTTCTTAGCAGTGTTTTCCCTTAGTGGTGCTCTCTGCTGTGTTGCGGTGTGGTGTGGCCAGCCCCTATAACATTGCACAGGGGCTGCATGCGCTTAGGGAAGCCTGCTTGCTCGCCTCGTGTGCCGGCAGGCTGTACTCGCTCTCTCTTTGGAATCCGCTTGGGCCCTGGCTTTTAGGTTTTCATCGCCCTTTTGTCCATTGCTGTTTGCAGAGACTGCTGTTTCTGCAGGTGGCTTCGTCTAGTTGTCATCCTATGTTGGACTTGTTGCTTCTCCGGGGTGGCAGTTCTCGGTCTTCTTGTAAGGGTCATGACAGGGCTTGAGGTTCCTCTGGTCGGGGTGGGCCATTGGTGCCGGCTTCTGAGCCGGCGCTTCCTTCGGAGCTGGCATCGTCTGGTCAGCACAATGATCGCTCTGCTCGTAGGCCGGCTTCTCGTAAGAGGCATGAGTCCTTTCGCGGGTCGCCCCTTTGATAGGACGATGGTGGGGGGGGGGGGGAGGCTCGTGCTGTTTGCTCATGCTTGGTCCCATGATTCTTGGGGCATTTGGGGTCTTCTCCTCCGGCCTGTGGTGGTGTTGGGTGGCTCCTCCTTCAGGGGGTTCGGGGATGACGGGGCAGGCTTCTTCCCTTGCACTCCGTCGGGTCATCTTGGAATTGGTGCATTTGGGCTGGGTTGAAATGACCCCGTCCCTCAGGTGGGTTTCTTGCCCGTTTCCAGTGCTGAAATGGGACTGTGCAGATCTGCAGTTCATTCTGGACTTGTCTCATCTGAACTCTTGGATTCCTTGCCATCCTTTCAAATGATCACTCTGTCTCAAGTTCGGATTCCTTGCCATCCTTTCAAATGACCACTCTGTCTCAAGTCCGGCTTCTATTGGAGCCGGCTGCTTGGGTGGTGTCTCAGGATCTCTGGGACGCATATTGGCATATTCCCATTCACCTGGGGTTCAGGGTCTGGTTAGGTTTCATGGTGGTGCAACAGGCTTACCGCTTTCGTTGCCTTCCTTTTGGCTTGAATTTGGCTCCTTACGTATTCACACATCTTACCCGGGGTCGTGGTGACCTGTCTGCATTTGCTAGGGGTTCGGGTTCTGGCCTACCTTGACGACTGGTTGGTGTGGGCTCCCAGCTGGTCTGCTTGTCTGTTCACCAGGGGGTGTAGTTCTTTCCCAATTTGCCGGGTTCAGGTTCCTGGTGAACTGGAGGAAATTCCATCTGGTTCCGTCCCAGGTTTGGACCTGGCTGGGCCTCGTTTGGGACTCAGACTGCTTTCATGTCTCTCCCTCCAGAGGCGTTGCTGTGGCTGCAGTGTTGCCTTCATCTTTTTCTGAGGGGTCCCAGGTCACTCGGTGGTTGCTCGAACAGTTGCGCAGGGAGTCTGAACTTTGTCGTGCTGGTTTACCCGCTGGGTCGGGTTTCTCTTCAGCATCTGTTCTGGTTCCTTTGGGGACGCCCCTTCTGCCTCTCTCACGATCGCTGGGTTCGGCCTCTGTGGGCCTTGTGTTGGTCGCCGAGTCACCGGCTTCCTCATCAGGTTTTTCGGGGTTCAATGCCTTGGCACCTACCAGAGCCCTCGCTTGATGTGTTCACAGATGCATCGTCTCTTGGCTGGGGCTTTATGACCAGTGCTCACCAGGTCAGCCAGGGATGGTGAGGTCTGTCCTACCGTTGGGCTCACAGCATGGTTCGAGAGTTCGCAGCGTTTTGGCTGTCGCTTTGGAGGGTACGGGTCGTTTGGGGCTCCACGATCTGGTTCCATTTGGACTGCTCTCTGGTGGTTCATTGCTTGAACTGCGGGGGGTTCTCTTTGGTCCTTGACTCTTTGGGGCTGGTTGCTTTGAGTGGCTTGTCTGCTGGTTTATCAGGGTTTGGCTCTCCGTGCAGTTTATATCTGGTAGGTGTCCAATGTCCTGGCGGACGGCCTGTCCCCGGAATGGACAGTCGATGCCGATGCCCTCAGTTGGTTCTGCCAGCCGTATGGGCTCCTGGGGGTGAACCTTTTCGTGCCGGCGTGGTCGTGGCGTCTCCCGATATATATGGCACTCTTCCACAACTGCGGAGCCGTCGCGGTGGATGGCTTTCGGCAGGACTGGTAAAGGTGGGGTTATTTATACCTCGTTTCCCTGGTCTAGCTGTTGCTTTGGATTCAGTTGGAGTCCTACCGTGGAAGAGTTATCCTAGTGGCCCCCTTGGTGGCCAACCCAGCCTTGGTTTCAGGCACTGCTTGCTCGGTGTCTGTACCCGGGGCATTTTCCATGAATCCACCTCGTTCAGCAGATCGGACCAGTCCGGTACATGGCTGGTTTGGTCTACTCCACTCTTTGCGTCTGATCTTTTTGATGCGGGTTTATCACCATTTGTATGATGATCAGGTGGCTTCGTTGATGGTGTCCCATCTGTGAGCTTCGTCTTAGCAACAGTATTAAGTTTCCTGGCGTTCTTTTTGCCATTTTGTGTGTTTTCGTAGGTTGTCTTCAATTTTTGATTGGGTTGTCTTGTCTTTTCTTTCTTGTTTTTTCAAGACCGTCATTTGATGACGAATACTGTCACCTCATATAGTTCGGCGCTGGCGGAGCCACTCCAGCTTGTGTTCAGGGTGGATGTCACTTCTGCCCCATTCTGTAAGCTTTCTCATACTTTGTTTCATCCCTGGCCTGCTCATGCACTGCCTGAGCCATCCAGGTTCTTGCCCCTTTGGTTTGTGATTGTTTTTCCAAGACCCTGTTTCTGTTGCCTTTGGCCTCTGGGGGTCGGGTTGGTGAGCTTCATGCTCTCCTCCAGCGCAGGGGTTTTGCTTTTTTGGTTCTGGTGATCAGTTTGTTCGGTTACAGCCGTCTCCTCCTTTTCTGGCGAAGAACTAGACAGCAGCTTTCCGGAGGGGTCCTTGGATCCTTGATGCTTAGTTGGTCAGGCCGGGGGTGCATCTTATGTTGTGTCCGGTTGTGGCTTTAGCCAGCAACAGGCTGTTTATCTAGCCGCGGTCTATCCTCTTGCCCATGACGTTCGTAAGTTTGCTGATTTGGCTCCCATCTTCGGCAATATGTCTTGGGCTGACATTTGGACGTGGGGATTTTGGAGGTCGAACAGGGTCCTGGCCGCCCGTTATTTGGTAAATATTCCTGGTCCTAAGCATTCGTATGTGGCTTTGAGTCGCAGGTTGCAGCTAGTTGCCTTGACCTCGAGTTGAGGAGCGTGTGGCAGCCGCCTCCCGGGTAAGTCCCTCCTTTACTTATCTTGGGTTTTGTACCTCCAGGGAGCCAAGGGGCTCCCCACAGAAAACCAGCGTTGAATGTAATGAAACACCATTTTCTGGACGAGCCCCAGAGGCTCCCTGGCACCCTCCCTCCCTCCAGTCGGTGGTTTCGTTTTGCTTTTGATGCTCAGCCTCTGAACTGGAGTGTGAGTAGCCGGTGCGAGGGGTCCGGGGGTTCTCCTCTCCCCCTCCCGGGGAGGGGAGGGGAGGGCTGCACAGACTAGCGATGCGGCGTTGTGATGTTTGCTTGTTTCCTTGAGAGTTGGGAGAGTTCTGCCTCCCTGTTCGGGTTTCGGTTGCAATTTTCTTACCAAGTGGGGTTTATTTTGTTATGCCTACCTTTCTGGGTGCCCAACCCCAGTCGATAGCAGACAAGGAATACCCCCAACAACAAGGGGGGGGGGCGGTCTCCATAGGCCATTCCTCCCTGTGCCTCTCTGAGGGGGCCAGGTTCTGGCTCTTAGTCCCCAGTAGGCTGAACTCCATTGCCTAATGCCCTAGACTAATATTTTGCATATCAGTCTGATAGCTCCAGGGAGCCTCCGGGGCTCACCCAGAAAATGGCGTTTCATTACATTCAACGCTAGTTTTTTTAGCCAATAATTTACTCTGTGCCATAACATGTTGGTGCATCAGTAGCTTTTCTTTAGCTCAAATCTGTTGTTCTTATTATTGTGATCATTATTATTATGGTTGTTGTTTCAGCTACTAGCTAGAAATTTCTAGATAAAGAGAATGTTTAGATAAATGATATTTCCATTCAAAGTATAATAAAAAAATATACATATTTGTTGGAAAAGCCTATGGTATGGCTTGAAAGATATGCTGGTTTATAAAATAATACCAGAATCTAATGTAGGAATGCAATTCTCACAGAGATAGTTACCTTAATATTGCATCTCGACAGGGGTGGCAACTTATTTGCTTATTGTGTTCTGGCCTGATATGATTTGGATTTGGGCTGGTTCTTTGGTGACTACTTGGTAGTTTGTCTGGTTTGGCCAGCTTGTTGAGCACAGGCCATATTTTGTGCCCTGGCCATACTTTTTATTCTCTGGGGCTGTCGACCCTGCTTTTATGCTTGACAATGTTGACGGTTATCTTGAGGTTATCTTAAGGTTATCTTGAGATGCTTTTGGGGCTTAGTGTCCCCGTCAAGCCTGGTGTTCCAGTAAAACTGTCTACAAATAGTGCAGTGTTGTCATTAGACCAGGCTTCACCAGAACTGGTGTGTGAGGTACGTTGGGTACGAGCGGTATGTCCAGTACGAGTTCTAATAGCAGGCCCTGCACATGTGGCAGTATCAACATCATCATCACTCTCCTCACTTTCAATTTCATCCTCACATGCTGTTTCAGTTTCAACCTCCTCACTATCTACATCACTGTCACTTTCTGCACTTTCAAGATCAAGATCAGAAAAGTCTTCAACTAACGTCTGAAATTTTGTTGGTGTAAGTTTCACTTTGCTGTACTTTTGGTGTACACTACAGTACTTGGCTTCTCCCTCAGATATGTTTCTTTTTCTGCTTTCATCCTGGAATGGTACTGTTCTTGATCACTATCCATCTTGGAGTAAATATAGAGTTTTTATAAAGGCAGTAATAAGTATAGCTGAGGAAAAATAGGCAGAACGGGCACGTGTTGGACGCAAGGGGAGGCCACAGCGGTCACGAGCATAGACACGATAACAAGGACTTACCGCGTAGAAGGCAGTGCCGTGATGCCACATGGGCCATCACAGAAAATGGGAAGATGTTGGCGCACATTTTAAAACATATCCCAAAATGATCGGGAAAAAATGGAATTTTAACAAATATTTTAATTTTGGACGCAACATGCATCCCTGCCGGACATCCGTAGAGTCACAGGTATTTATGGATGCAATATCCGTCCCCACCGACTGAAAGTGTTAAAGGGGGGGGGGGAGGGGTTTCTTTACCATGGGAGCATAAGTTAGTACTGTACCCACCTCCGAATATTTCTATGCATGCTTATATCAGTATCTTCTGTTAGACACGTCTGGGAATAGCAGAATGACTGCTTAGAAAATAAGCTTTGAGCATGTGTAAAGCATCTTTCTCTGCATGTTGTTGTTCTGCTTCCATTCCTTTCACCTTTGCCTTCACTATGCTTTGAGGGTAGCTCTCTGTCAGTCATATGTTAGGAGGGTATAGACTCCGGGTTTGGGTTTACCCTACCTGGGGTAAAAATCTACCTGGGTTTGGGGTAAGTGCTGCCACCTGTTGGTAGTGAAGTGGTGCAAGCTTTTATGTAACTGGAAAATTAAGATTAGACCTATCCAGAGGTCCCATTGGTGGCCACAAGTGTGACATTACTGGGAATTCTTAGAGGCTTGTTCTTTTGAACAGACATTTGTAACATCAGTCTATTCTGGCTGAATGTCACTGTCCCTAGGGACTTTCAAGAGCCATATATGACCCCCTAGGAGTACTGTATTCTCTCTACTCACCTATTTGTAGTGCCAGTGTCATGTGTTGCTTGCTTAATTGCATGTTGCGAGCCTTTAAAGTGCACGGGATGTACAGTATATCCTCTGGGAGCAGCAGAGTAACATACACAGAACTGTGCTTTCACAATCTGAAATATTTTTTGACTTTTCTAACATTACCAAAAGGGTTGGTTAGTGCCTATGTTCTAATTATTTTCGTCTCATTAAATTTATATTACCTTGTTGTTCTTTCAAGACGAAAACTAAACTCCACCTCAAAGTATATATACAAGACCTTGTTTGAAGATGGACGATCATCTGATGTGTGCGTTGTTGCTCTTGGACAGGAGTGGCATCTCCACAAGGTCTACCTGTGTCAGGTTAGTGCCACATAGATACATTTCTTCTTTTAAATAATAAAGTACTGTATAATTTATTGAGAGCAGCTGACCAACATATAACTCTGTTCATTGAATGAAATATGTTACTTCAGGCTTATTGCCATGTTGAATTCATTTGCTTTCCTTGTGGACAATAAGAAACCAGTTTGCATGTCAGGATCTGGTTGAAAGAATCTTGCAATGTGGAATATGTTTCTTTACAAATGGTCCTGTCACGTAGTTGAATGCAGCAGCAGTGGAGTGTCAGATTTAGTGCACCATCATGCAACTACTCGCTATAAGATAGAAGCACAAAACAAAGCACTCAACACCTCCAAGAGATCATTGGAATCAAAGAGGAAAACCAGTTGTCTTTGCTAACAACAGGTTAAATGGGTTCATTTATTAAGCCCATTATGTGCCTCTATATAACCTTATTCTGCTAACATATTCAGGATGACATGGGGTGCATAATAAATGAACTAAATTAACCCCTGCAATACACACCTGTTTTTGGCAAAAACTTCATAGTGCAATTGTTAATGACATATTTTTTCTGGGGAGAGCCCCTTTGGCTCCCTGGAGCTTACTAGGCTGATATGCTAATGTCAGATTTTGGCATCAGTCATGTGTATGGAGTTCTGTGGGCCTACCAGGGACCACGAACAAGAACCTGGCCCCCCTCAGAGAGGCATGGGGAGCAATGGCCTATAGAAACCCCCGTGTGGTTGGAAGCATTCTATGTCTGCCATCGACCAGGTCAGGCACCCAGAAAGGTAAGCATCGCAAAACAAACCCCTATTCTGGTGAAATTATTGCTACCAAAAGTCGAACAATTGGATAGAACTCCCCTAAAAGAAACAAGCAAACGATCATGGCGTCACACGTCGCCGCGCCACTGTCTGCGCTCCCGGGGAAGGGGAAGCCCCAGACCCCCTCATGCCGGCTATCCACCAGTCAGTTCTAATGCTGAACATTACTACTAAAAACACATGCTAAACATCCCAACTATGCTAAAACATCCCAACTCCTGCGAGCCCGCCAGGCTCGCAGGAGTTGAGATGTTTTCTGTACGCCGAAAGTTCCATCTTCTTCTTTGCCGGCTTGGGTTTCCGCCTTTGCTGGCTCCGTGGCCGCACCCACGGCTCTGCCTCTTCCTAGGCTCGATTGCCCCTTGGCGGGGCCGGTTTGGTTCTGCCTCGAGTCGCTCACCTTCTGTTGGTGGTCGGGTGGCTTCGTTGATGGTGTCCCACCTGCGTGCTTCTTCTTGGCGGCAGTGAGGGGTTTTTGGCGGTCCTTCCTTTTCCTTCTGTCCCTCCTTCGGTAGCTGCGTTTGTTGGCATGGCCTTGTTCTTTCTTGTGGAGGTTTGGGGCCGTCATCTTGCCTCATACTATCACCTCGTATCATGTGGCGCTGGCGGGGCCGCTTTGGCTTGCTTTTGGTTTTGATGTTCTTTCTGCTCCGTTTCGCAAGCTGTCTCGTGCATTATTTCACCTCTGGCCTGTTCTTGTGCCGCCTGAGCCATCCTGGTCATTGGACAAAGTGCTCTTTTCTTTCTTCTCCTCAGTTTGTTGTGACCCCTTCGGTTCAGGATTGTTCTCCAAGGCTCCTCTTCTGTTGGCATTGGCCTCTGGGGGTCGGGTTGGGGAGCTTCAAGCTCTCCTCCAGTGCAGGGGTCTCTGCTCTCTCGGTCTTCGTGATGGTTTTGTTCGTCTGCAGTTGTCTCCTTTTCTGCCGATGATTGAGACTGCTGCTATCTGGAGGGGTCCCTGGGTTGTTGATGCTTGGTTGGTTGGGCCGGGAGTGCATCATGTTTTGTGTTCGGTGGCGGCTCTTCGCCGTTACAGTACTTGTGTGCCTCTGTGTCTGGGGATGCGCTTTAGGTTGATCCGGTTTTCCTTTCTTCCCTGTTCGCGGGTGCGGGTCTCCCAAGTCGTCTGCAGAGTTCTTATGGCTAGCCAGCCTGTGGTCTATCCCCATGCCCATGACGTTCGTGCATTCACTGCCGTCTTTGGTGCCATGTCCTGGGCTGACATTCGGGCACGGGGCTTTTGGATGTCGTACAGGGTCCTGGCTGCTTGTTGCCTCGTGCACGTCCTTAGGCCTAGTCGGGTCTGTGTCGTTTTGGGTTGGCGGTTGCAGCCGGTTGTCTCGACTTCGAGTTGTGGAGTGAGCAACGACCGCCTCCCTGGTATGTCCCTATGTTCTTCCTCTGTGGGTAGTTAGCTCCGGGGAGCCGAACCCCCCCCCCCCAGAAAACCAGCATTGAATGTAATGGAACGCCATTTTCTGGGTGAGACCTGGAGGCTCCCCGGCATCCCTCCCTTCCCCTAGTCGGCAGTTTTTCGTGTGTTTTGACATCCAGCCTCAGAACTGACGGGTGGATAGCCGGCGTGAGGAGGTCTGGGACTCCCCCTTCCCCCTCCCAGGGAGGGGGGGAGCTGCGCAGACAGCGGCGAGGTGATGTGTGACGTCATGATCATTTGTTCATTTCTTTTAGGGGAGTTTTATCCACTTGTTTGGCTTTTGGTAGCAATAATATCACCAAAATAGGGGGTTGTTTTGAGATGCTTACCTTTCTGGGTGCCTGACCCGGTCGATGGCAGATATAGAATGCTTCCAACCACACCAGGGTTTTTATAGGATATTGCTCCCCATGCCTCTCTGAGGGGGCCAGGTTCTGTCTCGTGATCTTCTTGAGATCTTGAGATGATTTCGGGGCTTTTAGTGTCCCCGCGGCCCGGTCCTCGACCAGGCCTCCACCCCCAGGAAGCAGCCCGTGACAGCTGACTAACACCCAGGTACTTATTTTACTGCTAGGTAACAGGGGCATAGGGTGAAAGAAACTCTGCCCATTGTTTCTCGCTGGCGCCTGGGGGATCGAACCCAGGACCATAGGATCACAAATCCAGCGTGCTGTCCGCTCGGCCGACCGGCTCCCTTCGACCGTGATCCCCGATAGGCCCACAGAACTCCATACACATGACTGATGCCAAAGTCTGACATTAGCATATAAGCCTAGTAAGCTCCAGGGAGCCTCCGGGTCTCATCCAGAAAATGGTGTTTCATTACATTCAACGCTGGTTTTTTGCTTTTATAAATGTTCAGGTAAAGTTAATGTCAAAATGTTTCCAAACTTAACTATTTTCATTTCAAAACACAAAGAGTGATGAAAACATTAAAAAACATTAAAATATAGCCCTAATTAAAATAAAAACCCAGCCAACTCTCAAAACGACATTTGTTGGCCGGCGCAGTTGTGGGGTTAACTAAAAACAGGTTAGCAATTACCTGCTTGACCAGCCATGACTAGATGGAATTTTATTTTGTGTTTTTTTAGGAGAGACTTCCATGCTGGAGCTGCATTCTCATAGGTAGGATCTTTTGAAGGTTGCATATATTATTCTGAGGGCTATATCTAGGTTTTAAAGTTTTTGCATATACTGCCATTGTTTTGTTAACGTTTTCCTGAGGTGCCAAGCTGGGTACTATATACTGTATATTGCATACCATCTTCCCAGAGTTTTCCCTTTCCCTATTTCTGGGAGCTGCTTCCCGTTTAACACAACCGAGGCCACGGGGGCTTTGCAGGGCTGTAGGGTGAATGAGTCCTACAGGAAGCCCAGGCACTGGAGCCAGCTATGCCAGTAAACCCTGTTGATGCAGGCAACCAGACCACTAGAAGCCAAAAGGAAAGCCCAGGGAGTGGCAAGGAAGTTCCACCACACATAACCTAGGCATGCCTAAAAGGCAAAACACCACCAAAAAACCAGCATCGAGTGTAATGAAACGCCATTTTCTGGGTGAGACCCAGAGGCTTCCCGGAGCTATCCAGGCTGATATGAATATCATTAGACTTTTGCATTAGTGTGAATGAAGTTCTAGGCCTACCGGGGACCACGAGACAGAACCTGGCCCCCTCAGAGAGGCACAAGGAACAGTGGCCTATAGAAATGCATATGTGATTTGGCGCATTCTATGTCTGCCATCGACTGGGCCAGGCACCCAGAAAGGTAAGCGCCACAAAACAAACCCCCTATTCTGGTTAAAACAATGAAAATAGACAAACGAGTGGACAGAACTCCCCCAATTGAAAATGAGCAAACGAGCATGATGTCACATGAGCCGCGTCACATTTCTGCGCAGCTCTTCCCTCCTCAGGAGGGGGGAAGGTGGAGCCCCAGATCGCCGTACCAGCGATCCACACCCCAGTTCTGAGGCTTGATGTCAAAACGTGTGAAAACAATGCCAACCAGAGGGAGGGAGGGAGGAAGGGTTGCCAGGAAGCCTCCGGGTCTCGCCCAGATAATGGCATTTCATTACATTCAACTCTGGTTTTCTAGGGGTGGGGGGGGGGGACCCTTTTGGCTCCCCGGAGCTACTTCTCCAAAGGCGAAAACGAGAGGGACTTACCTGGGAGGCGGTCAGTGCTCGCACCTCAACTTGAAGTCAAGACAACAGGCTGCAACCGCCCACCCAAAGGGACACAGGCCCAACTAGGCACAGGAACATTAACGAGGTAGCATGCAGCCAGGACCCCGTTCGACCACCAAAAACCCTGCGCTAGAATGTCAGCCCAAGACATGTTACCGTCAAGCGCAGCAAACTTACGAACTTTATGGGCACGAGGATAGACTGCAGGCTGGCTAGACCGAATAACCCTGCGGATGACCTGAGAGACCCGAACCTGAGAACAGGGAAGAATGGAAACTGGATCAACCCAATGCACGTCCCGGGCCACAGAGGCTGTGGCGCGCAAATAACGGTGGAGAGCCGCAACTGGACACAACACATGATGCACCCCCCCTGCCTGACCAACCAAGCATCAACAATCCAAGGACCCCTCCAGAAAGCAGCAGTCTCAATCTTCGAAAGAAAAGGAGACAGCTGCAAACGAACAAACCTATCACCATGACCAAGAGAGCAGAAACTCCTGCGCCGGAGGAGAGCATGAAGCTCCCCAGCCTGACCCCCAGAGGCCAATGCCAACAAGAAAAGA